TTGCTTAGTAATGGATATAGTTTTGAAGAATATCAATGATGAAAGAAGGAAGTAGACATGGACACGTGCTTGTTCGATTTCTTTTTCTTGTACTTTTTCCTATTTGTCAAATCTTATCAACGAATGAAAGAGTGAACAGTTATCAGAACACTTCATCATATCAGTAAAATGGTGAGAAAAATAGCAGCTTTAATATATGAATTAAAAAAAGAAAAAGAAATTTTTGCGACGAAAAAAAAAAAAAAATGAAAATATAAATGCGGAGTATGTCTAACGAAAAAAAAAAAAAGTCATAGTTGTCAAGGTCATATTGATAATAAATGATGGCTTCTTTAAAATATATATATGATTCTCTTTGAACAAGTTGATTAATCTGTTATGAAAAGAATTTATGAAAATAAAAATGTTTGAGATGAAGAAAAAAAAAATGGATTGATTTTCTTTTCTGTTTTTTTTTCTTCCCGAAGAAAACATCAAAGGTGAAATATTTTTTCGAAGACTGTCAATTCAAAAAGTAAATAGAATTGCTTCAAGGCAATTTGTGATAACGAAAGATTAAATGACTTGAATTTATTTGAATAAACTTATTGACATACGACGGAAATCGGAACAATATTCTCTCTTTCGTTTTTCGATATATCTGTTTACTTTAATTATATTAGACATTCTGTTAATATATGTACTTTTTTTCGTAATATTTATATGTCTATATATATATATATATAACCGGTGATGAGGTTACATAGATTTTAATTCCGGTTGAAAATGTCAAATGGTAAATGTTTATTACGCATAAAGTTTTTTGAAAAAATCAACAAAGTATTGAGGAAAGAAATAGTTTTATATCGTCAATGAACTTTTTTCTTTTTCATATTGAGTAATTTGATTTTATCTAAAGTTTTACTATATTATATTCGAATTAAAAATAGAGTGGCCCGTGCAATATGAAAATTGATTGAATATATAATTTAGTGTCCTGCAACCAGATTGGGTATCTGATACTCGCTACGGGTGTCGGACATGATTTCATAACCCGAACCCGACCAGACAATTAATAAGGTCTCGATGTTTCGAAAATTTATTTTTTTTACTTTTTCAACCCCTAATTTATATAAAAGAATAGAAGTGAAAACCAGAGTCGGTCATGACTGAGCAATTTATTGTATATGATGGATAAAAATGTTTTTTTCCAGGAAGAGTAACTCTATGATTTCAAATAACATCGTCAACAAATTTTATATTAAATCAAAGCGCGTCACAAATGGAATCTATCAATATTAAATAATAAGGATTATAGAAACTTTTCAGTGTCAAATTCATGAAATTCGTCAACTTTTACACCATATCAACAAAGAAAAATTCCTTTTATGGGGCTGTTCAAATTATATCTCATTTAACATGATGAATATTACAAACTACTGGATATCTGACCTGGAAATATTGGAACAATAATCAAAAATGAAGCTGAAGAAAATTGCTATTAGAGACAGAACATATTCGTTATGATGAAGAATCTCTAAAAAAAAAGACATGAAATATGTTTTGACAAACATGGAAACAGACACTGACCTATTTGAAATTATTTTATGTTGGTATTCGTCTCATATTCTCGCTGCAAAAACGCTCATGGTCGTCATACTGAATATTACTTTATGATATTCATCATTTTAAATAAGATGTAGTTTGAACGGCCTCATAAAAGGAATTTTTCTTCGTTGACATGATGTAAAATTTTCGAAATTTTCTGAATTCGACACTGAAAAATTGCCATAATTCTTACTATTTAGTATTGATAAATCCTATTTTCGATATGCTTTAGTTTGATATAAAATGTGTTGTTGATGTTATTTGAAATCATAACGTTACTCCTCCTGGAAAAACATTTTTAATCACTTTGTACTTGAGAACAGGTCATACAGGGAGAAAATTTTATTGTTTGACTAAAAGAATTCGTTTTTAATGAAAATTCATCTACAAATGATGATGAACCATATGACAAAGTAACTGAATACATGAAGAGGAAAATGAATTATTAAAAAAATGAAAACGTATTATCGTGTGATGGAAAAAGCATTCATTCATGTATTCACAATAATGACGCTTGGCATCAACATTGTGTTCCATTTCAGCGTCATCAACAATAAGCAAGTGTATACTTAGCGAAATGGCTTGGATTTTAGAAGCAGAAAAATACCAAGTAAATTCTGAATCATTTGTTGTTTTTTGTGAAATTTGAGATGATCTCTTTTTTTGTTATTATTTACAGAAGAAATTAAATAGTATACTTTTTCATATAAAACAAATGTTTGAAAGCCGTATTGGAACTGTGAAAGTATCTGCTTGATGTGGGTTAGCTTCGGTTCGGATCCAGTTGCGAAAAGTCATACTCGTTCAGGATACTAATGTAATTGTAATGAAAACGATCAATGTTAATTCTTTATTTTGAAGACAAAGTATAATAAATGTGTGTTTTTGCTGTTTTCGAAATATTCTATATATTAAATATAAAGATTGTTTTTGTTTACTTGTACAATTAAGCAGTAGTATTTAAGTAGTAGGTTCAAAAGATTTTCGAACTGTTTTTGACAGCAAAAAAACAGTTCGAAAGATTGTTTGTATTGATATTGTTAGCGGTCTATAATTCATGCAGTACATTATCTGTAGGCATAGTAGATAGAAATATTTTTGTAGTATTATTTGAACTTTTTTATATTATACTATTAACATGGATAGAAATTTACAAAATTGTATGTACCTAGTTCTTAGTGGTCATTTCAAAAGAGAAGACAGATAGTTATTTTTTGAATAGCTTTTGACGGAAACAAGATAGATAACGACGAATTTTCAGCTTTAGAAAGAAGAAATGATTTTGTAAGCTGGTGTTTTTGAAGATTTTCAATCGATCTTTTCTGAAAATTAATGTACTCTGTGAGGTGACTACATTGTATTTTCAATTATTAGGTGTGTATTGAAATCGTCAATCGAAGATCTAAAAAAAAAACTAAACAAGTCTCAGATTTTTACATTTAATCATTGAGGAGTTATTGGTATTTGATTCAAAACTCTCGACTGATTTTTCAAGTTATTGCTGTAAAAAAAAAATCACTTTTTTTGTTTTTTTTTTATTATTCTATAAGAAACTAGTTTTTCGGTACTAGTTTTAGAAAATTAATCAAAAAAATACTTTACAAGACATCTTAGGAGAATCTATAATATACAATTCAATGTTACTTCATCTCCTTATTTCAACGATGAAAATCGCAGCATTGTATCCTATTTCTATCAAAAATTATTCTAAAAATATTCATCTGACTTTTTTTTATTGAAAAGAGTATTAAAACATAGCCATAGATTCGAACTCATAGGGATGATGATTGATTTTTAAATAGAAAAAAAATACTTACAGAATGATATTCAATTATTGAATTTTTCATACACATATAATATCATTAAAAAAAAGACTTCTATATCAGTGACGTAACTAGGCAGGAGATAGAGAGTTCATTTCCACTTAAATAGAAACTTGGACCTTCTCTATAGACATAATCAGGAAACTGAGGTCTTCCTACACCTTTTTTCTAGTTATAGTATTACTCTATATTACAAAACTATGGATCTATTTGTCAACTTCATTAATAGAAGATGTCCGAAATCAGCTTAGTTTTTTTATAAGATTAAAAAGATTCCTATTGCTAAATATCAACAGAAAGGAAACTGGAATAGATGTAAATTTAATATTGATTTTGTTTTTCTTTTATTAATACAGTTTATTATATTATTTCAAGTCAATCTTAAAAAATGATAGATTTGATAGCATAAAATATTAAGTTCTATCTAATTGCATTAGGAACGTATTAACCCTTTAGTTACGGATCACATATATATATATACGTTTTGAATTCTTTCACATATTATCATCATTATAATATCATTTAGATTCTATCGAAAGAACTCCTCTCTTTTTCTCTTATCTTGGCAACATTATTACGTGATCATCCTGCATTGCTATGTGTTTATGGGCTCTCTCTTACGTTCTGGCATGCTTGTTTCTTACATTTTACCTCGCTCTAGTAAATTCTGGTATATTTTCTTTTTTTTGAGGGCATCAACATTGAACGCATCTATACTATTCAAAGTGAAGCATAAGAAAACTATTCAATTTGGGAAATTTCGAAGGGAATTGATTCGGTAATTGATTGAAAGACATCCTCACCCTCAAGATGCAATTAGTCGTCTGATTATCTGGGATAACCCTGTACGTCTTACTGCACGCCATTTTACGTCTCTAGTTCCAGAAATACCAACAGGGAAAAGTGCACAAAGAGTTTGTATAGTCTGTAATCATACAACCAGACGCGAGAAAAAGTGTAGGGGTACACTTTATCAGTGTGATATTTGTAATGTTGGACTCTGTGTGATAGGTTGTTTTGAAGATTATCGTACTTTAAAATACTTCTAAATACTTCCATATACTAATAAAGGTTATTGGAGACTCTTTTAGAACGAAAAGTAAAAGGTTCATCTAAAAAAAAAAGAACCCGTAACCAAAGGGTTAAAACAGTAAAAGAAACAACAAATATTATCGTTAGATACCTAACAAAAATGAGATAAGATAGGGACATGAAGACAATAAACGACTTTGCATGTAATATTATATTTACATAATCATTTTGAATGATTGTCTATTCGCAAGAGTCATAAGTTTAGTGATAGAATATGCAAGGTTTTTTTTTGTGTGCGAATACAATAGATTAAATTGTTTGATGGTTATCAAATAAATGCATATGTAAGGATTTGAAGTTAATATTTGATGACAGAAAACGATGTGAGTTGTATTCATTAGAATACATATCAAGACACATTTCTCTTCATTCTTCGTGCAGTACGCTTTTTATATCGTTTTATTTTTACTTTTTTATCCATTCTGTCAAGGTGGTGTTTTGTCTATATAAGTTTTTTTCTTCACGTGGTTATTTATGTACAAAGGTATCGAATAGACGATGAAATTATACATATATATCATAGTTTTTGTTCATATTGATTTGGTTTTTGGAATTCGTTGTTATTCATGTATTGGTGAAATACATAATAAACAAAAACCCGTTGATCCATGTTTAAATCCAGCAGAAAATGTAGGCGATGGTAACGTCAATGAAATCGAATGTTTAAATACAAAACTTTGTTGGAAAGGAATAACAGCTGGGAAATTAAGACGTGGTTGTGGAGAAAAAAGATGTGCTTTTATACCTGATATAAGTATGGGTTCATTTATTAGTCAAACATGTTGTTCAAATGATCTATGTAATCGAACATCTTCAATAATATTATCTAAATCGCTTGTCTATTTTATTATTTTTTTAATATTTTTTTATCAATTATTTTATTAAATAAATTTAAATGATTTTTATAGAAAATTTTTATTAAGTGTGTTTGCTAACAATTTCCATTTCTTTTCTTTTTCTTTTCTTTTTTTTTTTTCACTTTATGCACAACCTATACACCCGATGGGCACTTGAGCGACTTTTTAAAAATCACTTTTCTTTTTATTAGCCATCCCCCCTCTCATCGACTACCCATTTTCTCTTTTTCCGCTCATGTTTGTCAAAAAATTTCTCTCTCTCTCTCTTTGTTGCTCAGCATGCACAAATAAACAAGACGTTTATCATTACTAACATTGAGAGAAAGACAGTTGCATTGTAAATAAAATTTGATTTACGACAACATCAATAATTTTGTGAAAAAGAAACAAGAAAAATACTTCAACAGGTTGGTGATTCTATATAACTAATTATTTATAACACATGTATAATTGTTTTGATTAACATAATCATAGATTTTTGGTTTTTTTTTTTTGATAAAATACTACAAAATTTTACTAAACACTTATTTACTTGTGGAAGCTCTATGCATTGTTCTACATATGAAAAAAAAACTGAGATTAAAATAGAAACATTTGCGTCGTAGTTTTGATGAAACAGGAGAAGAAAATTATGATCTTTTGTTGAATATGAGTCAGATAAAAAACATATTAGTCGTATTTTTCTATTAGTAAGAAGATGTGTCAAGGTTTTTTACTTTTGTCATGATATTTTCTACTTCTAGGGTTTTATTTTCTAAAATGAAAATGAGTCATTCGTAACGAATTGAAGTTTCTCTAAAGAAAGAGCCGAATACTGTAATGTAAGTTTGTTCGAAATCTTTTTTTTTTCTAAACTATTTTTTTAAGAATTATATTGTTATGTGTAATGTTTCCTAAGCAACAATACCTAAAGACACAAAAGAGAAAAAGAATCAATAAAGAGACATTGATATAAGAAATAAAAAGTGAGAGAGAGAGAGAAACAGATGTTGAAGTTGAACGTCTAGTAAGTTAATTGATCGTTGATCCTATTTAATTCTTTCGATGTTATTTTTAAAACATTTAATAACATTATTTGTTCTCTGTATACCCAAAAATCACGTTAGATGATCTTGATGAATATATTTCATATTAAAGCATCCTAGTATAAACCAAAAATGTTTCAATGTAACGGTAGATGATTATTAAATCAGATTGAATTTTTATGTTTTGTTAATATAATTGTAAATTTAATATATTTGATGAATATTATAACTAAATTTGATTATGCTAATGAATAGAAATATTTTCTTATATTTGTACTTATTCATTGATTATTCTCGACGCTTTTTGAAGTATAGATTTACTATGGTTTCAAATAAAAAGAATTTATTTTTCAAGAGCTTTCAATCAAAGATAACATTTTTTTTTCTTATATTAAATTCTCAAAATAAATCGATTTCTTGATTTTGAATCATGTACATGAATCAAATACATAGTCTTTGGTTTGGTTTTTTTTTGTAATTAATCATATTATTTTAAATAATCAATTTATTTTGTTTAGATTATACTAATTCAACAGCCATGACACTCGATTCTTTAAGTGAATCAAGTCTTCTTCGATTAGAGCAATATTTAAATTCAAATCCATATCGAGAATATTCCATGAGTAAACCATATTTTCCAAAAACATCTTACCCAACAGTACATTCAAATCGTTTAATACCTGAACAACAATCATCAGTTCTTGCTTTTCATGAATTAATGGATAATCAAAAAAATACTTTAACACTTGATCGTCTTGCTTATAAACTTCGTATGAAATCTGATTTAAATATAGATACATTAAGAGAAACTCATATACGTCGTCGACGTCACCATCATTATCATCATCATCATCATCAACAACAACAACAACAACATTATCATCCTCAACATATGCAACATAGTCATCATGCAAATCCAAATTTAAATGATACATTAAGTTCAATGCCTTCATCATCAACAACAAAAACATTTATACGACAACCAACATCAATAACCATGTCAACAAATACAATGAAAACAATCGTTAGCGATGATTTAAGTGGTATTGAAGGTAATTCTATACGTGTTGGAACACTTGATGATCTTATCAAACAATTTCGTCGTGCAGAATTTCGTCTTGTTCGTCGGCCAGCTGATTATTTAGATAGTGCATCAACATATATATCAAGTAATGTTTCAACAAATGATCGAACTATAATAACAAAATTACATCAACATCATGAACGTCCAATAAAACAACCACAAGCTTTAACTGAATATCGTTTTAATGCTCCAACATTTCCAACGACACCAACACGAACGTGTCGAGAACCACCAATTCATCAGGGACTTATTTATCAATATAGAACACGAGAACGAATTCATAATACTGATCTACCTTTATTAAATCAACGTTCAATTAATTTACTAGAACATGATCGACAACGATTAAATCCACTTGTTATTCAAGAACGACAACCAACAGCAATGAGTTCACATGATAAACGAATTCACGAATTGCGTGAAAAAACTTTAACGCGTACAGAAAAACAATTATGTGTTTGTAATAAATTAACTATTGTTGATCCATTTAATTCTTCCACTGACCAAATTGAATCAAGTTTATCTCAATTTCAACAATTACAACAACAACAACAACAACCTGCAACTAATTATATTTTTCCACCTGTACGTCCATTTGGTTATTTTACGAAAAAAACAACAACAACAGATGATATACAACAATTGTCTTGGAGTCCACCACCACCACGTATTAAGAAAAAACATGGTACAAAAAAGACGCGTCAAAAAGTTCTGCAAAAATCATTAGATTCATTAGATAAAATAGAAAATGATGAAAATAATGATTTACAATTATTAAATGATACAATTAAATCAATGGTTAGTTTAACTGATATTGATGATGAAATAAGTGATACAATGAATACAACAATTAATATTGACTTAAAAACAGCAGATGCTGCTATAGAAAATACAGAACACCAAAATGAATCGTAGTATTTTCTTTTACAGTTACAGCAAATTTTGACTGTATATATACATATTGCATGAATAAAAGCTTCTTTTTTTTTTTAATTTTAAATTAAGATTTAGTATGATGAATATTGAATGTGTGGTCATTTGATTAAAATATGATAATATAAGATATTTATAAAGTCATTAAATTAACTAATTTTCTTTACAAGACATATCATATTTCTAAATTTTTATTGATTGAATAGACTTTATCAATATTATTAAGACTTATGACTTTTAATTGAAGTAAAACTATTCATTGATATGATATGATTGTATTTTCTTTTTCTTTTTTTTGATTCATTGATCAATCAAACTTTCAATGTGTTTTTTTTTTGTAAATCATACTTTTGACTCCATTTTTTCTTTAAAAATATCCAATTAATTATTTTTCAAGTAGTAATAAATTATTTAACATTTTTGAATAATATCAAATTATATTTATAAAGTTATTTAATTATCTTATTTATCATATTAGAAATAGTTACATAATAAAATTTTATTCAATTGTTTCGATGTTTGATAAAATGCAATTTTTTGTTTGTTAATGGTTCAAGATCACATAGAATCGATAGTTTTGAGTTGTGAAGACTCAGTTTTCTCGATTATGAATTTCTTCGGCTTCAATTAGAACGTATCATATTTCATCGACAACTAAGTTCAGTAGTTAAAAAAGAATTCTTCACATGTCTCAATAGATTTTATAAATATGTCTCCATACATATTCATTATTAATACAGACGAGTAGGACTTTGTCTTTTTTTGTTTGTCTAATTAATAATTGTTTCATATATTATATCTTTTATTTTACATATAATTCTTTCAATTTTATTATTTTTTTTTACGATTGAACTAAAGAACAACGGAGATAATTATATATATATATTTAATAACAATAATTGATTAAAGATATAAACGAAGACAAATAGATAAAAGATAAATGAATTCCCAATCCATTAAAACTGAAAGACGAAACAAAAAAATAAGATGAAATGTTTAGATGATAAATATGAGATAATTATCTTTCTACTGATGTTAATCGAGATACTTCATGGTCAGATCTAAAATAAAATATAAAGATAAATAAATTAAATATTCTATTTTATTTTATTTTATGTTTTTTTTACCCATAAACAACTTCTTCATCCGAATCATTAATCATTGAGAATGTTGGATTATCACGAAATAATGAATCAATAGCAGCATTTTTTGCTGGAGAATAAACATATGCCATTGTATAAAGATATAAATTAATAAGACTATAGAATGAAAGAAATTCAACAGAATTTTTATAACGTGATGCTAATTCTGGTACAAAATTTTCTTCTATAATGCCTGAACCAAATCGTAATGTTGTAATAACAATTGAAATTGATACAACACAAAGCATTAAAAGAGTTGTAAATTTCAAACGAATGTCTAAATAAAATTTATTCAAAAAAAAAGTAATAACAATTAAGAATCACATGAAATTCGATCCAGACCCAAGTCTATCTCATTAATCCTCATAAAAAGTCTTATTCCTATAAATAATAGTTAGTACATTCCGTAATGCTCAGCAAGATGGTGTAGTTCATCGAGTATAAGTACGTACTCATATTAGCTCACCTTTGATATTGTGAATTTCCCAGTGATTCATTCCGTAATCTAATTACTAATTGAACAACTAATGATCCCAACTGAAGCATTTTAACTACAAATTTCATATAGTAATTGTTGTCTACTAACACAAATTGTCATCTTTCGAAATACAATTTGCTAAGCAGAATTCTATTAACTATACTGTGATCTAAATTCATAATATCGAGAACTACTTTTTAATGAATAGTGCAATTTCTGCGGCATTAAAACGTGGAATACGATGGAGTTTCTGGTATTATAAAAGAGAGAATTTATCACTATATATATGTTTCGTTTTATGAATTTCTACCTACTTTTAATGCAGGTCGATGATGAAAGATTTTTATCGCAATATATTGCAGCTGA